ACACACACACACACACACACACACACACACACACACACGCGCGCGCGCACACACACACACACACACACACACACACGTATGCATGTTTGTATTTTCTTGCTATTCTAGCTTTCTGTAGTTTTTTGAATAAGCTCAATTACTTTTTTTTAAAAATAATTTAGTGTTAAAGTACTCAAAATCCTTTTAAGAAGATATGTTTTCTTTCAAAAAAGATTTCCATGACTTAGTTGTGTAACTCAACTATTTCCAGCTATTGTAGGAACAGATCCACACTAACTGCAGGTCTTGGAAAATAAATAGAAGAAATAGACTATATTTGTTCACACTAGCTACGCTTACACGGACATAAGTAATTGAATTAAAYGGCCATTCGGAATAAAAATGTGTCACGTAAACACCCATTCTGTCATGATCTGTGTTTTTGCTTTAGTTTTCTAGTGTTCTCTGTTCCTCTGTTTTCTCTCCCCTGTTGTCTTGCCTCCAGCCCCACCCGTGCTCACCTGTTCCCTCTTGTGTCTCTCCAGGTGTTTCCGATTGTCTCTTAATTTGTTTGCTTTATATTCTGAGCTCTATTCGGATTATTCTGATCCGACTCTGCTCGATTCGAATGAATTTGTAATCGGAATGAGAGAGGTTGTTTATGCCGATTGATAATCCGATCTACGTGCATGTAAACACTTAATCCGATCATTTTATCCTGATTGTGGAAAACTGACCTGACTGCGCATGTCTGCTGACTGTCTTCCACCGGTTTCTGCTCCTTTGTGGAGGGAGTAGCAGACGCGCAGTTTCCAGCAGCACAAAACTTTTCCTCAAGTTTTCGCATTCAATAAAGAAGGAAGACACAGCCTGCGCCGCTTCGCCAAAATAAATAAATAAATAAATAAATAAAAGTCTGTGCGCCACCTGCAGCTGAACCAGAGAGTGCAGTAACGTCTCCACCTTTATTAAAACCTGTCGCAGGTCCATTTTGAGCTCAGAAGCTGTTTRTTTATGTTCATGACGAAAGTAGAACTTTTGTCTGTGGGTTTTTTTAAGGGAAAGTTAGCAAATGTGCATGTCAGTGCTTCTGTTATGAAAAAAATCCTGGTGCATGTAAACACTCGTCATGATCGGATTGTGTGCATGTAAACAATACATTCCGATTATTTAATCTGAATATATTTCAATCCGATCAAAGAATTTTGCGCATGTAAACATAGCTACTGATAAATGCTACAACCTGCAAACTGCAATCATTAAAAATGTTTTTTTTCCATTTTGTTAAAAATATTGTTTCACAAATTACAGTTAGATACAAAAGGCTGTCTTACCTGCACCTAATATATATATATATATATATATATATTTCAATGTGCTCTGCACAATGACAAAGGTCTAATCTAATCTATACATACTGTATGATTAGGCTGCACATGTATTTGCCTAATTTCACTTTACCACATTAACACTTTACCGTTTTATGCAGGATTCAATCATGTCACTGGACATCAGCTTCAGTCGGGTTTCCAGGTGTTTGCCAAACTCTTCTTCTGGCCAGTGTAGATCACTGATGAAAGTCTGCAGAGCATCCAGTTTCCAGAAGAGGTCCTCTGACGTTGCTGACCCATTACTGTGGAACCACACATCAGTGTTTTATCTCTTGTTTTAGAGTTTGAACACTATAAACTGCCCAGTAAGTAAAGTTTTGATCAATTTGATAAATAAATACAATTAAGTGATAAAAATCTATAATTTGTGTGAAAGAAGATCAAAACTTTGCAATGGGTTTTATATTAAACAGACTGAAAAAACACACATTCACTGCTTTTTAAATTTCACTTACCTTCTTTATGATTTTTTAAAAGCTGTACAAACACAAAATACAGAATGGTTTCCTAACAGTAATTGGTGTGGTTTATCTGCAATTTTTTAAATCTAATTTCAATCTTTAAAACTTTTAATTGTCATACAAATTTTGCACAGTGAGTCTGTATTCACATTTACAGTATTCATTGATGCAGGAGTCATGTTAACAAAGATATGCACTAACATTGAGGAAAGTTGAAAAATTATGCAGATTTTGCTCGTTCAGTCACTACACAGTTGATTAAGTTCATCTGTGAATGTGTAGTAAGGATTTGCATTTACATCAGAATGACACTTTTTAACTTCTAAAACCCTTAAAATACAGGAGCTTCAGTGGGGCTTCACCCCCTGTACCCCCCACAAGGGTTTTGCCTAAGCAGCCCCTTTACCCCTGTCTTAAAAGATCCACCTTTCCCAAAAAAGAGACACACTCAAAATACTGGCTACAGGCCTGCATGTACTGTAGTGCTTGCTGTTTTGGCTGCAGTATGAGTTTTACTGATGGACACACAGAAAAAATACAGTGATAGAAAAGAATTCTTAAAAAACGGAAGTTTCAGAAGGGTTCTTTGCTCCACTGGGTGTCTCCCTGCACTGCAAGCTTGGACCCCCAAGTATGCCAGTACTTATATACAGCGGGTAAGATAAGTATTGAACACGTCAACACTTTTCTCAGTAAATATATTACTAGAGGTGCTAATGACATGAAATTTTCACCAGATGTTGGTAACAACCCAAGTGAGCCATACATACAAAGAAATCAAACCATAAATGTCCAGAAATGAAGTTATTTGTAATAAT